GGAGAAATTAAACCAAATGAGCACAGTTGCAACCTATTTCCTAGTATGGGGAACATGGTGAGGAATATGTCGTCTTTAATGTATTCATTTTGGCACTCGATGGGGCGAGACATTTTTAGGAAGTGTTGAATACAGTAGGCGGTAACCTCTGAGGCTCAGTTAGCAGAGACTGTTATCAAAAGTAGGTCTATGATAGCAGCAGCACCAACAAGAGTAACATGGCATTCAAGAGGAAAAAAAAGGTAAGCGTCTTAATCGTGGATTAATGTAAAACGGCACATTTCAATTTTGAATCATTTATTTTACAAAATCAGTAATTCAGGTCAAAGATACAAGCAGGGTAATAATTCAATGAATAACCGAAGCTGTCGTGCTGAGATTCCTTCACTGGTCCTTAAACGTTGATCAGGGAGAATAACTAGAAAACAGAACAAAGAAAATTTACAGCATCATTCAAGTTTGTTTTGAATGTTTAGAGCAGAGATGCACAGAAAGCATTTGAATTGTGTGTTTTGTATGTTTTGGTTTAATACTTCCTCATTCTCAGAAAACACACAAAACCCAAGAACATTAAAACTTGAGGAGCTGCTACGCACTCTTTATCACTTAGTTTCTTTTTCAGCTGTTATGTAAAAAGAAACACATACCTGTCATTGGACCAGTCTGTATGTGATGTACCGCCCAGCTGTTTCACTGGGTCTGATGATCTTCACTACCTGGAACAGCAGATACAAAATGGCAGCTTTTTTTAAAAATATTACCACAGCGCTGTCTCTATCAGTGCGATGAAGAAGAAAAAAGTGATAAAAACACTGCTGATAGTGCTGTCTCATCCTTAATGAATGAATCTCTCTCATGCTTTAAAAGAAGACACATTGTTTTTGTGTTTGCATAAAGGGATCATTCAAATAATTTAAAAAAAAAACAACAAATGTCAAAGTGGTTTCATGTTGATCACGAGTCTCGCAGGTTTCAGAACAAACCCCGCACATAGTTTCAAAACATTTCTTGCAAAAGTAAAACCTCTTTAGTCACATTTTCTTGCATTTTGTCAGTTATGATAGTTTCTAAGATTTCTTACCTGTCCTCTTTTTAAGCCAAAGTAACGAGCCACAGGGTCCCCGGCCTGGATCCTTGGCAGCTGGCTTTCTTTTAATTTACTGAGGTAATATTGTTAAGGGCAACGAGTGTACAAACCTCAACGCTTCTAAACTAATTTACTGTCATGCAGTGCAAAGTGCAAGGATACTATCTTGCCAGAAGTTCAGTCACTTCCTCTTTTGTCATGACGATGTGCTCTGGTACGAGCTGAAAGACAGGCGAGAAATGCAAATACAGAAATGTACAACACGCTGCAGGCTTACTTGAAAATAATGATTTTAATGTAGAGGACAGTATGATGCTTACCTCGTGCTCTGTGATGTTAATCAGCAGCTCCTGTTGTAGAAACTGCTCCAGTATATATTTGGGCGCCATGTCGACTAGAGACTGTGAGGGATTTGTACATTTACAATCACTGCAGCATCATAGCAGAGACAAACCTTTCCCTTTTTATCACGTTTGCTTTAAACTGATGTTTACCTGTTTTGCTGAGGGTGTCATGCCCATCTGAACAACAATGATTGCCCGTGTGATGTTCTCCTCCTGCATCCTCTGACAGTACATCTTAATTGTCTTGATACCAACTTTGGGCTCCTCTGAAAAGAAATTGAAAAAAAA